TCTCTCTCTCTCTCTCTCTCTCTCTCTCTCTCTCTCTCTCTCTCTCTGCGCCTCCAGTCTGCCTTGAGGTGGGCAGCTTTCCTGAGCTACACCCTTCTGCAGCATTATTTCTGTCTTTCTACAGTCTTAGTAAGTCTTATGTAGCCAGTTGACTGCATATTTTGGGACACAGTGACCAAAATATCTGCAGAAACTCCTTAAGGAAGGAAAGCTTTCGGTGAAAGAGGGATTTCAGCCTGCCATAGTGGGAAGGACACAGGGCTGTGGTGGGGATTCTCTCTGGGGAGCAGTGGATTTGAGGCTAGAACCATTCACAGGCTGAGCGTGCAGGCCAGAACCAAGACAGGTACAAACCCTTAGTGGTCTGCTTCTTCTAGGCAGGCATCACCTCCAAAAGCCTCCATAGACTTAGAGCTTTTAAAATAAAAGCCTGGATCTCTGTGGGTTCAAAGCCAGCCTGGTCTACAAGAGCTAGTTCCAGGACAGTGTAGGACTGTTACACAGAGAAACCCTGTCTCGAAAAAAGCAAAAATAAATAAAAATACAAATAAAATAAAAGCGTCTTTGGCCACTTAATGCAATCATCACAAAGTAGGAAGGGGGCCTCAGAATGCACACTTTGCACTAGCGATTTTGTCTGAAGATGATCATGCCAGTTGACACTAGCAAGCTTCATTTTCCTTTAATGACACCAAGAGATGGGGCGTCTGCAGTCATGGTGGCACACGGCACACGCCTTTAATCCCTGTGCTAGGGAGGCAGAGACAGGAGGATTTCTGAGTTCGAGGTCAGCGTGATCTACAGAGAATTGCAGGTTCCAGGACAGTCAGGGTGCTCTGTTACACAGAGAAATCCAGTCTCAAAAAACCACAGGGGGGAAAAATGGGGAAGTGTTTTGTTTGTTATAGGGGTGACGTGACTTCACTTGGTCTCCTGCTCTATTTCCCCTAGTGGTCTCCAAAACCTTAATTTCAGCAAGAGTTTGTCATTTTAGTTTTGTTACTTTATAAACTGAGGACATGGCCTCCATAGGGTATGGTTGAGGGGAACGGTTTTCTTGTAGATATGACGGGAAGTACAGTCAGAGGCATCTGGAAAAGTCTAGAACAGGTAGAACAGGGAAAGTCTAGAACAGGGAGGAAGCAGCAGACTGAACATGGCCAGCAGACTCACCTGGCCATGGGAGGAGAGATGTGGAGAGCAAGAGAGGAAGACAAGGAAATACTTGCAAGGGAGACCAAGAGGGAGGGGAACAAGAGAGCACAAGGCTGAAACAGCAGGGTTATTTGGGATGGGAAGGGGGGTAGGAGCAGGAGAAATTTAGGGTAGGGGCTGGGGGAGAAGAGCTGAGTCTTGCCCCAGGGAGCTGGGGCAGAGGGAGCCTGGAGGCCAACCTGATAGGCACCATGAATCTATCCTGATTTTTTTTTTTTTTGGTCCTGACAGTTATAATTTGTTTATAAGTCAAATCTGGTCTTTATCTATGGAGGTGAAATGCCTGTGCAATGACATCTTAATTAAAGTGATCCACCTGCAATTTATTTCTTTGTATACTCTGTCTCCTGTTTTCACAGCAGGTTTTTTTTTTATTTATTTTTATCTTTTTTAAAGAAAGGTCTGAAGTAGCTCAGGTTGGTCTTAAAATCACTATGTAATCAAGACTGACCTTGACTTTTCCAATTTTGTGCCCAGCCCTATCTCTTATTTTCTTGGCCATATACTAAAATTTGTCTTTTCACCTACTGTATATAACCGAATCTTACTTTTTAAAAAAAGTAATGACAATTTTGGCTACTTTCCCGTACACTGTACACTCTGCCTAGGATGAGTAAGCCTGGATTTACACTTACTTCATGCTGAATCTCCACATCCTAAATAGACTTTTGGAAGTGTATTTGACGAATGGTGAAGTGTCTGGCAATTAGACACAAGACGACTGCAATCCAGAGAGGAGATAATTAAATGAATGGCTCTGTTAAAGACGCTAAGCAAACAGGATCACTTCAGAACACATACATTCCTAAGCAAGGCGTTAACGGAAGCAGTAGTGCTTGAAAAGCCCTGGAAAAAGGTGAATCACTGGACACTTAGTAAGTAATATTTGAAGTGGTAGGATTTGAGCATGGATAATGTTTTCTTCCTTAAACGGCTGAAAAAACTGCTAAAAATATAAACAACAGTTCACAAGCGCCATGAAAGTCAGGAGACCCCACTGTATTGATGCTTTAAAGAATTGCTTCTTCGACCATCAACCACCAGAGGAGGTCACATGCACAATTCAATACAGGTGGTGCAAAAGGAAAAATGACCACGCCTTGTTTATAAAGCCTCCCAGATAGCGCAAGTTATCAACAACAAAAGCATGTTCTTTAAGTAATTAATCTCAGTAGAAACGAACTGGGGGAAACTTTGCAGACAGCCTGTCATAGGCGGGGTGAATGAAGCTGGTGTTTCAAGGTCCCGGAACCCAGGGTCAGCACACAGTGCTTCTCCGAGGTGCAGGTCTTTTCGAACTCTGTGCCCCTTTGTCATTCGAAACAGGATAAGATTCTAATCACCCCGACCCCTGAAGAGAAGCTTGCACGGACAAACTTCCAGTGCAGACACTGACTCCTTAAAAAATCCTAGACCCACAGGCTCACTCCTGCAGGCTGCAGAGTATGTCGGCACCGTGTACACCCGGTTCCTCAGCCCTACCGGCACAGCAACTCCAGCTCTGAGGCCGCCGCTCCCTCCGCCTTGGCGGGAGCACGACGCCCCGCCCCCGGAGTGTGGCGGAAGTAGTGGGAGCGGCGCGCGCCACCTCGCCGGCTGCGCATGCGCTCTCCCCGCACGGGTTGGCGCGTTCGTCTAGTTACCTCAGTCTCCGCCACCCCCGCCCCTCATAGTGGCGCTCTCGCCATCTTGCACCCCCTTCAGCCTAGCCCAGTCACCTTTTCTCTTTCCACAATTTTTGTACCCCCCCATACCCCGCCCCCTGCCCATCGTGTCCCGGGGCCGCCGCCGCCGCCGCAGACACCGCGCCATCTCTGTCCCCTCTCATTCTCCACGCGGGACGCGCAGACGTGCTTCCACGTGTCCTTAAGCAGAGGTTGTGGGGCGCGTGGGGGCGGCGGGGAGTGGGACGAGGTCGTGGGAACGCCAGGGACGTGGCAGCCAGAGGTCAGGCCCAGGGCTGCGGGCCCAGCCGAGTGCAGGCCGCCGAGTGTGGGGTGCGCCATGACTCCTCCCCGTCGTCGGTGGGCGTGGGGCGAGGGGAGCCCAGGGCTGGGCAGAGAGGCACCTTTCGCGTGTCACCCAGGTTGTGTTGGGGTGGGGAGTCCTTCAAAAAGGAAGGCTCTGCTTCATGGAAGTTAGGTAGCATTAGTGAAAGTTCAGCGTGCCAGGAGAGACCCAGAGGACACAGAGATGCTGCTGTCACCGCCCGCCTCTGGGACCCCTGGGGAAATCATTTAGCTCGTGTTGTGGGGTCTAGATGGGGATCATCACAGCCTGGCTCAAAACTCAGGTTTACGAGAGAATATTTGTGTACTTAAAGCTTACATCAACGCCAGCAGAGTTCTCCGCTGTGATTAATTACCTATGAGTTTCATGTTAAGAAATTGTCACCTTGCCTTCTCTTAGGAAAGTCAGGACAGTTGGTGTGACAAATGAGAATGAAGTTATAGAGATAGTAAATATGTTTGACGTTCAGACAGAATCCCGGAAGCAGTGTCATTATTGTATACCCGGATAAATTAGCATCATGTCCCTGAAGTTAGTGGGAACTCAGAAAGAAATGAGGACATGTTTATTTGGGAGACACCTGGGTCTCCCAGATCACCGTTAAAAGATGACTTGAAACAACTGGTAGAATTTCTGTATGTTCCAGAGAGGCAGAATTTGACTCCTAAAGTTTCTTGGTGCTACTTGGTAAAACCAGAACATAGTGAGTTATGCTGTTGTGAGTCGTGGCCCCTCAAATCCCCTCACCCACCCGGAGGGCCTTTAAGTACATTAGGTCTACCCTGAGGGCTGCGCTGCCTAGGGGAACTTTCTGCCACGCTGAAAATGCTATACACTGTGGGCTTCCAGCATGGTAGCCATCAGGGGCAGGTGGCTCTTGAGCAATGGAAACGTGGCAGGTGCCACTGATGATTAGCAAATTAATTATAATTTAAGTGGCCACCCACACGCACGGTGGTTGTTGCATGGGATCGCACAGGTCTGCAAGGTTGAGAGCTGTCGCGGTCTTTGATTTGGTGGAGTTTTAAGTCAGCTCAGCTTTTGGAATAATTATATCCAAATATTGCCTTTCATTCAAAGCGTGGGTCTGCTAGTATTTATTTACAGCTTGGCAAATTAAAGCAAAACACTCCTTTGACTTCTTGGTTCGAAAGCTAGCGCCAGATTTAGCTGGAAAGAGAACACTAGCTGGAGTTTTCTTTAATCAGCGCTGGCTTCCACTGTCTTTTATCACTGGGTTAGTTCTTCGTGAAAGCTTGCAACTCTTTATTGCTGCCGTTTTTTTTTTTCCTACCATCTTTGAAAGCTGGTGCTTCCCCCTTTTAACCTTTTCGATAATAAGACAGTTTAATACCTTATAGTGGCGATCTTTGAGCAATTTTAGAAGTCACTTTAGTATCCCTATTCAAACTTCTGAATAGAAAATGAAATTTGGTGATCAACGTGTCGTGAGATTACTTTCTTTGAAATATGCCCAACTATTTTTTGACTGGGTATTTGTAAATCTTGAAAATAAAAATCCTCTTCTTTTTCCCCTTTTCTCCCCTCTCCCTTCCTTCTTCCTCCTCTCTTTTTCTTCCTTTTTATGTACTGGGGATTGAACCCTGGCCCTCCCACATACTAAGTGGCGGTTCTGCCACTAGACTGTACACCCAGTCCTTGAAAATAAACCCTGAGAAACAAAAACAGAATGAAACTGTCACGGTGTCACGGTAGATCTACACCCTGAACTCCAGCCTGATATTTGTAAAACATTGCCCTTGGCCTCAAGGCTGGAGATAATCCTTGGTTCTGGAATGACAGTTTAAAGCTCCTGTCTTACATCATATGCAGAGACTAGTTCATGACTTGCAAATCAGACTGAGCTGGTCTTGAGTGGACAGACTATCTTAAGTTTTCTGGGACAGTCACGTCCCAGCATGCTTCCTACCAGAACCCCTTTCGTACTCTCAGAAACATTCCAGTTTGGACTGTGCTAACGTGGCCACACTTTTTAAGCTTGTCAGAACTCTTAGTCTTGGAAGGATTAGCTATTTAGCAGTCTCCAAAATACACTTGCTGAAAATAGTGACAAAGTCCATGCTGTTTCACTCATGGGATATTTGGAATAAGGCCAGAGAGTGACTTGGTCCCTTTAGCCACTGACGATTTAAATGTTTTACTTTGTATAGAAATCTTGGGTAATATGCTCGTTGGTCCCTTTTGGTGTAAAGAGCTACAAATATGCCGGTACAGTAAAAATAGTGAGATCGAGTCGTCTTGTTTTCCTGTTGAGAATGGGTGTTTTGGTGAGGTCAGATAGTAAATCAATCAGAAACCTGCTTGTATTAGAATTAGAATGCAACGATTTTGCTTATAGTTCACTTACATTATGAGAAGAGATTCGGCCATTGCATTACTGTGTTAACGGAAGGGGATGAGCTGTTCTGTTTGCTATTTTAAATGTTGATGGCCATGCCACTGAGCCTTGTGTGTCTTCTGTAGTCCCACTAGTTTAGCCTTGAACAGACTGTCACTCACAAGCTGCCCGCTTTGAGCTTGCTTAATGTTAAAACCCTGAAGTGTTTGTAAAGCGCTGTGCCTTTGCTTATGTTCCTGCTCATGTTTCCCGTGACATCTTCTGTGCACCCTTGCTTAGCCATTATCTCAGGGATGCTGGGAGAGAAGTCTGTTAAGTTTCCACTCTAGAGGAACTGAGGGGGAGAGGTGGTCTGAGTTGCCCAAGGTCACATGATAAGCCTCAGAGCCTGTGTTTGAACTCCAGAGCTCAGTGCTTTCCTGCTACACTGTGTGAGCATAGGCAGATAGTTCACAACCAGGTTCACTGTGACAGACACCTTGTGAAGGTCTTGTGAGTTAATTATGATCCACTTTTATTTGTGTGTTCCTCGTTGTATAGAAGAACGGATTCTGGACCAGGAGTCAGGGGGACCTCAGTTTTAGTCCAAGCTTGTGTCCCTAAAAAGTGGTGTGTCCTTGGGCAGTTCAAGAAACCCCTCTGGGCTGCAGTTTCCTCCCCTGAAAAATGAGGGATTTGGATGAAATTAGTGATTTTCAAACTGTGGTTGGAAGCCTGCTCACTTGTCGGCCCCTCCCACCCGTTTACACGGTTCAGTCTGCCTGTTGTTTAGTCATGGCCTACAGCCTCCTTTAAATGAAGACTATCAGGACGTAGCATTTAATTTACTAGACTCTCAGATAACCAATGGCAGTGTCAGCCCCTGACTGCAATGATTGTAGCTCTGATAATTTCGTATTACTTTAGAGTATCTGGAGATAGGCATCTTTTGCAAATGAAAAATCTAGGCATTTTTAAAATTGATAATTTTTTTTTGTTAAGATATATGCCTGCATAGATCAGGTTATCAGCTACTTGAGATCAAAGCTTCCCTTTTTTTCTTTTTAAAAAGATTTATTTTAATTATATATGTACACACACATCTGTGTGGGTACCAGCAGAGGCCAGAGGCGTTGGGACTAGAGTTACAGCAACTTGTGAATCTTTGATGTGGGCTCTGGTAACCAAACTTGGGTCCCCTGGAAGAGTAGTGTGTTCTTTTAACTACTGAGTCAGCTCTCTGGCCTAAAGCCTTACATTTAAAAAGAAAAAAAAAATAGGTCTGAGACATTTAGCCAGTATTTTTAGTTTCCTCATCAGTAGTGGGAAAGTACTGGCCTAGTAGGGTGATTGTGGAAAAAAACAGAAAACAAAACAACAAAAAATCTGAGTTACTGCAGTAAAAGACCAAGTAAAGCCCAAGTCCATTCATTCTTCATATACATGAATTAAATCGCCATTAGCCACACAAGCTGTACTGTAACCACATCATTAAATTACCATTGGTGAATTGTATATGCTAAATATTAGATGACAATAGATTTCTTTTAAGGAGGGCTATTTATAAAACATGATTTTAGGCTAGAACAGAATTGTAATGTTTAAAAATATCCACTCATTTAAAAAAATCCTCGTTTTCTGCTATACGACTTACTATTAGGATTGTTAAGTGATGGCTAGATTTCCCACATACTTAAAGAAAAATGCATAAAGTCATTGAATTTTCTGTAAAAACAATATTGTCAAAAAGTGAGTTTGCTATGGGATTTGCCAGTATGGATGCTGTGTGTTTTCAGCTGAGTTGTTAGATGTAGTCTACAGTGTGATTTTATGTATATTTTTAGAAAAGAATAATTTTTAGAACAAAATTTAAAAAGGCCAATAACATTAAAGAACATGGAATAGAATTTTAGCCTAATATGAACTTAGGGGAAAAAATATAGTAAGATTCTCCCATGTTTGTGTGGCAGAGAGCTCTGATGTCTGTAAGTTAATTTATCATTAGGTAACAAGGAAATGAAAGTGTTTTGCTATTTTGTGCGTGTGTGTCTGTGTGTCTTGTATTGTATTGCATTGCTGTTTATTGAGTCTCGTGACTTACGCATTTAAGGCAAGAATTCTGTTGCTGAGTGATAGTCCTTCCCATTTTATATTTTTTTATTTTCAATTCAAGTATATTTTTGAGTCCTTATTGCATTGTGGGCTTATTGTTTTGTATTTTTTTTTTGAGACAAATTTTCATTGTGTAACAGAGCCCTAGCTGTCCTGAAACTCACTTTGTAGACCAGACAGGCCTTGAACTCAGAGATCCGCCTGCCTCTGCCTCCTGAGTGCTGGGATTAAAGGCATGCACCACCACGCCCTGCTGCATTGTGTTCTTTATAATACCTTTGTGAGGGAGACAGAAATCATTCTTGAAAGATGGAGGAAGTGAACCTGAGACCTCAGTTGATTCTTATAAGTTCTGGTATATTGGTTAGTTATTCCTTTAAAGAGCCCATGTCCAGCCAGGTGTGATGATACAGTTC